AATCGATCTAAATCATCATGATATTGAACAAATATCATCATCATCAAGAATATCAAATAATAAACAACAATCAACATCATCATCATCAACATCATCAACAAAACATACTAAAACAGCTTTAACACCATTACGTGAACAAGATATATCCAAATATCGTTATATAAATACAATGGAATTAGTACAAACAGTTAAAGATATTCTAAGTCGTTATAGTATATCACAAAGACATTTTGGAGAAAAAATTCTTGGATTATCTCAGGGAAGTGTTAGGTAAATATTTTTAAAAAAATCAATTTTTTTGTTAATTTAATAAAATTATATTTAGTGATATTCTTGCGCGACCAAAACAATGGGAATTATTAACACAAAAAGGTCGTGAACCATTTCTTCGTATGCGTATTTTTCTTGATGATCCAAATGCAATAAAACAACTTGTACAAACTGTTTCAACAACACCAACAACAAATACAAATTCAATATTATTACCAACATTTTGTCCACCTCTCCCGCCATCAGCGCCATTATCATCATCATCATCATTTTCTTCTCTTCCTCCTTCAATTCTATCAACACCATCACTTCTATCAAATGCAACATTAAATGGTTTTCATTCAAATAATCTTTTAATAAGAGATAATTCAATTGATTCACAATCAAATAATGATTCATCACAACTTTTAAATAATGAAATTATACAACTCCCACCAACATCTTCATCATCACCATCAAATGGAATAACATCAAATTCGAATAAATCAAAATCTCGTTCAAAAAGTTCCAAAACAAATAGTGAAAAACCAACATCAACTCAATCTCGACAAAACCCACTTATACCACCCTATGTATTACCAAAAATAATATTACCAAGTAAATTACTTTTTTTAATTTTTCTCTTCAATATCTAATACATACGCATTCCTTTAGATTCAATCGATACTGAACAATTAAGTTCACAAGTACGAGAACTTCTATTTGCATATAGTATTGGTCAACGTGTATTCGGTATGTAGTATATATATAAATAAATGTAACATAAAGTATAAGAATTTGTTTCTTTAGGTGAAGCTGTACTTAATCTTTCTCAAGGAACTGTTAGTGAAATATTATCTAAACCTCGTCCTTGGCATTCATTAAGTGTAAAAGGCCGTGAACCATATATACGTATGTATACATGGTTTAATGATACAGGCAATGTACAAAAATTACTTGCTTGGAAACGAGAACGTGATGGTAAATTAAATTTATTGTTATAATCTCGAGCTAATTATTAATATATAGAAGATCATTACGCTTTGTTGAATAAATAATAGTAGTATCTCGCCTAATTTTTAATGAATATCTATAGAAAAAACTTTGTATACAATTAATAAACTTCTGTTATGACATAACTTCCTATTGTGAGTTGTTAGGTATATTATATGAAAAATTATTTCATCTTTTTCCCTATAGCTCTACGCAGTAATTTTTTTATAATATTGAAACTTTTGCGTTGCACTACTTCTTAGAATTTTATATTATACATCAGTTAATTGAAAAAATTTTGCCACACTTTTAATTATTTTTATTTTTTTGTAGCTATACGTCGTTCTCGTCCTCCAGCTACAACAACTAAAACAACATCAATAACCGATAATGGTGATTCAGAAAGTGGAAATAATAATTCATCAACAAGTAATAATCGTCCAAAACGTCGATGTTTATTTACTGATGATCAACGTCGTGTATTAAAACAAATCTTTGAAAATGAACCATATCCAAGTCAAGCAACATTAGAACAACTTGTTAGTGAATTATCTTTACCAATGAATAAAATAGCTAATTGGTTTCATAATTCACGTATGAGAGCTAAAACAAATATACGTCC